TAGCTGGGTGCGGAGCTGCCTCTCCCCCCCCAGGGCTGCTGCAGGTGGTGAAGCAGTGCGTGAGGGTCCCAGTGTTCGTCATGATCCGACCTCGCGGCGGCGATTTCCTCTACTCGGACCGGGAGGTGGAAGTGATGAAAGCCGATATCCGCCTTGCCAAGCTGCATGGGGCCGACGGGCTGGTGTTCGGGGCCCTCACTGAGGACGGGCGCATTGATACTGAGCTCTGCACAGCGCTGCTGGGTAAGAGTGTCTCCAGGCAGAAATGCTGCGCTGAGCTATGTGCAATGTCTGCTGGCACCGGCGGGAGGGGTTCCCTGCTGCTCTGTCCGGTGCTGTAGAAAGACCTGCAGTGTGCTTTGGTCTGCGTGTCTTGTCTGCGGTCTTGCTGTCTCTCTCCACCTTCTCCAGTTTCATGTGTTGTCATACCTGTGAGACAGTAAATAGGTAAGAAGTTTTGCAGATCAAGGACCGCTGCCCCAAGCAGTTCACACAGAGTTTGAGGCCACCTGGGACATAATAGCGGGGTTTAAGGAGAGAGGCTTAGGTGAGCTGCTTTGGGGACATCAGAGTATTAAACTGTTGGATTCTCTCCGTTCTTTGTTTTTGTTGCCCTTTGTTCTTTTCCTTACATCCCTGCTGCAGGTGTCTAGGATATGTCTCTCGTGGACTTTGGCCTTGCGGGTAGCTGGCAACTCATCTTCATTTTTTCCTCTAACACACCCAGTGAGAAAAGATAATGAGAGAGAGGTGGAAATGTATAAAAGGCTACTGAAGCTGCAGTGGGAAATTGTTAGTCCAGACCCCTAACACACAGGGAGAAAGAGAATTTGCTTCCACATCTTTTCTGTGAGCTACAGCCAAAGCTAAAGAGGGCTGAGTCTTTCCCTGCTGATGTGGTGCTGAGGTTCTCGTATGAAGGTAAATGTGCTGTAGGGAGTGCAGCAAAAGAGAGGGGTCTTGCCAGGATTTGCCTCCACTAGAGCAATGAAGTGGTCTGCTGGAACCAGCGTTTCCAGGGCAGGAGATGGTTGGATTTCTTTTCATAGAAATAAATAACTTTTACCCAGTAAATAGAGCCCCACTGGTGAAGTTTGCTGTGGTCTGAGAGAGAGCGGAAATTATAGGCAGTGAAAGAAATCGCAAAAATCAACTCTTCTGCTTTCAAAGAGCACTGGTCCTGTCCCTTCCCCAGACAGATGAGACAACTGTCCTGCTTCCTTCCTGCAGGGAAGGACATCTCTGGCAGGAATGAGGGTTCTGCATGATCCAGATGAGATGGGGGATTTTGGTGTCACTCATAAAAACAAAGGTTTGTTGCTTCCTTAAAAGGCAGAATAACTCTTCTCTGCCAAAGAGGAGCAGCTGTGTTGTTTCCAGCAAGTACTGGGAATCTTCTGAGCTGGAGCCAGGAATGGCCCGAGAACCCTTTGCCCTCTTCCATCTCCTGTGCTTTTCTGGTTCTAGCAGAAGGGACTCTGTGCCAGCCCTGACTGACCATATGTCTTCTTATTGCAGCTGTGTGCCGTCCCCTGCCGGTCACATTTCACCGAGGTGAGTGGCCTGGGACAGTGGCCCTGGCACGGACCCTGCTGCCAGGGGAGGGTGGGGCTGGGAGGGAGCTGAGCTTTGTGTACTTTGGTCATTCTTTGGAGGGGGAGAAAGCGCTGTATGCTGTGCAAGAGCAGCCTGTGGCTGGGCTGTTCCCCCAGGAGGGGAAAGGTCCAGGCTTGGGGGATGTGTCACTGCCCTTTGTGGAGAGGAGGTGTCTGAGGAGCTGAGCATGGTGGCCCTGCCACTGCTGCGAGGGGGACATTATAGTCAGGGGCTGTGGCTCCCCACAGGGGTGGCCAGCTGTGAGAAGGACCCCTTCCTGTCATTGTCTCCTGGGCTCCTGAGCTGGCTGGGGGCAGGGCTTGAGCACGACTTGCTGAGCGATTTCTGAGCTGTTGTGTTGGTGTCTCAGCCTTTGACATGGTGCACGACCCTCTGGTGGCATTGGAGACCCTGATTTCTCTGGGGTTTGAGCGCGTGTTGACAAGTGGCTGTGACAGCTCAGCACTGGAAGGATTGTCCTTAATTAAGAGACTTGCGGAACAGGTAAGTGTTCCCTGTGCTCCCCTGGGTTGCCACAGCTGCTTCCTGGGCATTGCCTGGAGGCAGGTCCTTCGTGCTGGCCCTCGTCTCTGTAAGGGAACTTCTTTCAAGGACCACTTGCCCTTCTTGTCTGGCCTGGCTTTAATCTGCTTTCCTAAGTCCATGTGGGCTGGACCGCGAAGTCTCCCACAGCAAAGACTTGTTGGGTTGTTCTTGTTTGCAGACTGGGAGGAGGGTGGTAAGAGTTGGTTTCAGCAGCTGATGTGATTAGCTCGTGTAAACAGCAAAGTGAGGTCCCTGCCAGGGTCTCACAGTTGCTGTTAGGAAAATGCGACAGATGTACCTGAGAGGTAGCCAGGAGGGATAGAGAGGCAGGAGGAAATGGTGATGAACTGTCTTAGCTGTAACTGCAAAGTCTTTTCACTTTTCCTTGTAAAACATGAATGGTACAAAAAAAGATGGGTGAGAGTGCATGAATCGTAAGCCACAGTGACATCCATGAGCTTATGGAAGGCGCTGCCTGTTCTTTGCCGCCCCACAAATGCACGTGCGGACGTAGTGCTGAGCAATATCGCTAACGTGTTATTCTTCTTTCAGGCGAAGGGCAGAATTGTGGTGGTGCCAGGTAATGTTTTTTGTCACCTGTAACAGGTCCTGTAGACCCTAGCCCCTGCTTCCTAGCCTCTTGCCCTGGGTTGCGCTGTCTAATCTGGCCTTCCGAGCCAGGCCCCCAGGAGGAGGAGCTCCTGCCCTGGTGCGGGTAAGGGCCATGCAGCCAGCTGGGGATGGCAGAGGCCTGCAGCTGCTGCTCACTGGGGGATTTGGGGACAGCTCTAGATCTGTGGGAGAACATGAGCCAAGGCTTCTCCCATCTCTTATCACATGCCTGGGTCTCCGTTGTACTAAGGGCTGTCTTTTCCCTTCGGTGTAGATGGTGCTTGTCCCTTAGGGGGTAGGTCCTGGGGTGATGTTGGGTCTGGGACGGGGCCATCTGCGCTGTGTGTGACACCGGGATTCTTCCCACCAGGGGGTGGCATCACAGAGCGCAATCTGCAGAGGATTCTGGAAGGCTCCACCGCTTCTGAGTTTCACTGCTCTGCTCGCTCAGCCCGGGACTCGGGGATGAAGTTCAGGTAACTGATGATTTATTTTTTTTTTTTTAGCAAAACTGTACAAGGGAAAAGCTGGATTAATGTGAACGTGACTTTGTAGAACAGGCATAAATTTCAAACGGCTTCCTGGGTGCTAATTGTGCTCTTGTGCTTGGGATCATGATGCCTGGCTCTGTATTCTGCAGTGTATGAATCCAGTGGTGCTCATCATCTGGACACAAGCTCCATGCAGAACCGGATCCTTGGGGCATTTCTGCTGCTAATGCTGCCCTAGGGCTTGTGAGTGCACTTCTGTGGCGCTTGGGAAGGCAGGTTTTGGTGTAGTTGCCTTAGACCTTTAACACAAGTGTGTAGGATTTGGAAGGGCAATGGGATGTGCTACTCTGAGGAATGAGTGAGGAACTGCTTACATTTGTCCACAGGTCTGCATTGGGTTTCTGTTGATGCTGTTGTTTCTTGCCTTTGGATTCTTCTTTCTATTACTGTCTCATCTTTGGTTTGGGTGGCACCAGCAGGTTCTCTGGCCACCGCTGAGACTAGGGGAGATAGTGGGTTTTTCTTAGTGTGTCTTACTCACCTGTTATCACCTGCAGATAGTAACCAGTGGTTTTCCTGACAGAAATCCGAACGTTGCCATGGGAGCATCCTTCTCTGCCCCTGAATACTCCATAAAGGTGGCAGATGTGGCCAAAGTGAGGACCCTGAACGCGATCGCAAAGAACATTCTGTAGTGGAAGGCACCGTGCTGGGACAAGAACGCTGAGACTCCAGGGTCTTCTCTGCCACATGGACCGATGGGTACCGCTTCCGTCCTCAGGCTGCAGAGGATGTGAACTAGGTGATGAAGCCTGACATCTCTTCCCTTGGCTTCCCCTGAATGACCAGTCCCTGGCCTGGAAACTTGGCCATTTTAAATAAAAGGACTTATTCCCAGATGTTGCGGCAACAAGCTGTTCGTCAGTATTTGGGAGGAAGGGAGCTGAGCAAGTAGGGGGACTGAATTGTGTAGCACTGCATGTGATTGTCAAATAAACACTGCAGCTGCCCCCCTCTTGCTGTGCTTTTTTAAAATTTATTTATATTTTACAGGTAAGAGTGTGATCTGTGTTGCGTAGCCTGAATCAATTGGGCCCCTCCTGCACCAGAGGAGAATACAGTCACATCCAGAATGCCAGGGAGGGAAACAGCATAGCTGCTAGGTAGAAAGAAGCACATTGATAGGTAGAGGTGGTGAACACATTAAGTTCTAATGGGAAGGAGCTTCTAGCTACCTGACTGATTAGGTGAGGTCATTATGAGGCATCCTGGGCTGTGGGCCGTGACTGCTTGAGGTGGGGCGGGCGTATGGTGAGATTCCTTGGGAAGACAAGGTGCTTTTTCTCAGGGAGTTTCCAGGTTCTTTTCCCAGCATGAAGCACAAACTGCTCGTTCTCCAGACAGTGCTCGGGGGAATGGGCCTGTTGGGTTATTGCTGCCTAGTCAGAATTGAAGCCTTAGACTCATTTCAGTTACCCTGCAAAATACCCAACGAAAGATCTGAATGGTGTCATAGCAGTCCACTAAAAGAGTAGAGACCCAGAGATAAAGTGCCTTTATTCTTGCTGCCTGCTCTTCTCTAAAAGATCCACAAAGCTCAAGATAAATCCCCCTGACAGCAGAAATAGCGGACCTTCTTAGAAAGCAAAAAACAGGGTTCAGATTTGTCTGCCCATCTGGGCAATAGCATACAGACTGTGAGGATGTACAGGAAAATGTAATACTTGACAAGGTGGCAGCACCTTTTGTCACCTTAAACAGAATCAGGTTGTTGAAAACCTATAACCAAGACTAACTACGTATCTTCAGCTCAAAGGGTACCTCCACCTTTTCACGTGGATCCATCAGAGGTATCGGTGTCTCTCAAAACACACCTCGGGAATGTTCATGGTAGTTCTCAACATAGGAGCTGGGAAGGGAATGGCTGCTTAGTGCTGGTGTCAAAGCCTGCTTCAGCACTGACAGATGTGCAGGCAGTGGGAAGGATCCAAACTCAGAAGAAGAAATTACTAAATTTGTGGTTATGGTCAATATAGTTCAGAATACCTGATTTAAGAGTTCATGGCTTATGTTGTGAGATTTTGTGAGTCATGGTGATGATTAAGATACTGGTAGCTCAATTAACAAGAATATTCTGCTGGCATACCTCCCCCCCCGCCCCCAGCATCATAAACGCAGAGTTTCATTCTTTTGTGTAAAGTTTTTTTTTTAAAAAAAAAAGGGGGGGGGGAAGAAAGAAAGACAAAGACTTTCGAACTCACATGGGGTTACAGCATAACAAAGCAGAGAAACAAACCCTTCAGAAACAGAGATGAGCAGTGAGGGCTGGACTAATTTGTAGATTGCCTTGCAGAAGGCTCTGTCCTGGACCAGACCCTGTGTGAGACAGGCATGAAGCAGTGCCTAATTTTGAAAACTTAAGTTATAAGATGGTGGACAACAGATGGGTAAAGGCAGGGGAGCACAGGGAAATGGTGTGGTATTGGTGGCCAAAGAGGTCTTACCACTTTGATTAGCTTGGTCCCGGTGAACATTTTCTTGGTACTGTAGTGAAGGAAGCTTTATGGAAGGAGCTTAAGGACAGTGAGGTAGCTTTGTGGGTTTTTAGGAGGAGCATGTCTCAGGTCTGAAGGTAGAGAAAGTGGGGGGGGTGTTTGCTTTGAACATTAAAGGTAGCTGGCATCCTGTGCTGAGCAAAACACTTCAACTCTGAATGAGAGACCAAAGATGGAGTGAAGATGGGCTGTGATATGTACTGAAAACCAAGACAAGCGATGGACAGAGCATTAAATAGGAAGGTGTCGCGAGCAAGTGGTCCCCTTGCAGCAGTGCTTCAGGTGGGTACGAGCAAGGCCAGAGGACATCTGTTCCAGCAAGCAGAAAGAAGAGTCACGTCAGCACTCTGGATGGAGAAGGGCTGAAGGAGTGACTGCTCCATTCACTTATTTCTTAGCTGTTGCATCAGATCGCTGCTCGCATCAGCAGTGTATTGGTTCTGGCCTGGAGGACCTAAGCACTAGGGGTAGCTTTATTTACAGAACCAAGTGGATTTAATCAGACAAGCCAATAATAATTAACCAATGAGTTGGACATTGAACCTTTCTCTGGTATTGATGGTAAGGGGGTTGTTCCTGAGCAATTACTCATTGTATCATCCTTGACTTCTGAGCTATCTACTAACTCCATGAACAATGAGACAGCAGAATCCTTGCAGTCACCCTGCTGTCCCCTTTTACCTACTGCACTTCAAGAGCATGCATGATAAAGCAAATTCAGTTCCAGCCTTAGAGTAGTACCACCCCTACCTGCCCCCCTCCTCCACCTTTCTAAGCAGCAGGGTAATGATTTAGGAATGGTCTTCTGGCTGTCTCGGATGTTGGGGGTTGCCCTACAATGAAGATTCAAAGTCTCTTTTGGGTTTTGTGGTCAGCCAGGTGCCGTAACACGCAGACAACACGGAGATGTGGGAAAGGGAGAAGCAAAGGGAAAAGCTGGGAAAGTCTCCAAGCTCTGCAGGCCAGAAGAAGTTGGTAAAAGGAACCTGGATTCTGGGGACTCAGAAAGACCACTGCAGCATGCGGTCAGCTCAGCTGCCAGATGCTTCCCAGGTTGCCAGGCCTGGAGGAATGCTGGTGTCCTGGGCCTCCTTGCTGGGTGGCACATGACAAAAAGGGTACTGTCACCTTTGGCTCTTGAGGGAACAGCCTCTGCTGGACTTCTTGGCAGCATTCAGCACACTTGTTCTGGCAGGAGAGATCTGTTGCACTGAAGTAGTGTCTTTAGTGGGTCCATACGAGCTTGTCTGTTGGTGTGCACTGATGAAGGCTGTAGTTTCTGAGCAATGGCTGTGGTGTCCTGCAGTGACTCTGACAGTGGCTTCCCTGCTTCTCCCCTTTGATCTCTTTCTCCGGTCTTCGTCTCCTCCCTTCCCCAGAGCCCATGCAGTTTCCAAAGCCCTTTTGGTCACTGCTTTGGTCTGCCGTGTTGTGCAATAGCACCAAGTTAACAATTAACTGCATGTCATCAGGGATTTGTCCTAACACCACTTGAGGGTGTGTAGTGAATTTTGTCCCAAGCATCTACCCAGGATTCTCACAGCCAGGCAGAGTGAGGGGAAGGAGCTGCTGTCTCTTCTCCCCTGAGCCATGTCAACAGCCCTGGAGGAGTTCTGCGGCTCTGTCTTTTGGGTGAGTGGCTGCATCACCCCCATCGCCCATTCTTGGGGTAGGATGCTTGGTCCTCAGGGGAGAGCAGTAGATCCCAAGGCTCACAGCTTGTTCAGCCAGTGGGACCCAACTCCCAGCAGCCAGCAGATGTTCTGGTATTATCCAGGACTGCCATGGCACTGAGCACTGTGTGCTGCCTGCGTGGTATCCACGAGGAATCAATGCAAATGACAGTTCCCCGAGTGAGCCCTGTCCTGTTTTAGCCCCGCAGCCCAGCTGGGAACACAGGACACCCTGCACGGACCTCTTGGGGAATGATTTGGGTCCAGCTGCTCCAGCTGGCTTGGCTCCAGCAAGGGGTGGTTGTGGGGGAGGCTCTCCCAGGTTCAGGCAGATACATGGGTAGGGGGACATCACCTGGGCCTTTGGCTGAGTGCCGAAATGCTCGGCCAAGAAGGTGTGTGTTGAGGAGGGCGGGTGCGATGGGGTGGAGCAGAGCGGGCAGGAACTATAGAGTGGTGGCTCTTGTGCCGTGAGCTGAGTGAGGGTCAAACCATTCCAAGTGACTCGGCTGTCTGTCCTTGCTGCCCCTAGAATGCCTCTTACCTTGCTCGTCCGGATGCTGACCTGCCCGTGTGCTTCCAGCAGACTGTGCTGGTCTGGGTCCCCCTTGGCTTCTTCTGGGTTTTGGCTCCATGGCAGCTCCTGCCCATGTGCAAATCCAGAGCCAAGAAATCATCTGTGACCAAACTCTACATCACCAAACAGGTAGAGTGGGGCTGAGGGGGCACAGGGGGTGGGCTGGAGGAGCCTGGGATGGAGAAGTGGTGAGTGGAAAGCCTCTGGGCTGGAGTCAGATGTGGGATGGAGAGATGAGAAGTGTAGGAGAGAAGGAGCAATGGGCTACGGCACCATCTGGGGCAGAAATGTAAAGGGGGGCCCAGGACAAGGCATATCTGGGACAGAGGGGATAACAGGGCTGGGATGCATGGGGAGGGAGGGCAGAGGTGTGTACTGGGGCCTCTCATCTTGTTGGCTGGTACCCTCCAAGCTTAAAAAAGGCAGTGCTCCTGTGGAAGTGCTGCAGCTTCACAGGGCTCTAGAAAGCTCTCCCAGGCCAGGTTTGGGTTGGAAAGGGTGTAACGGTGTATGGGGGACAGTGCTTTTACACCCAACTGTGTTGTCTCCCAGTGGTTCCCAGTGCCCACAGTGGGCTGGGTCTCCCCTCACGGCTGCTCCCCTCTCCCCGCAGTTGCTGGCTTCCTTGCTGATGCTGACGGCAGTGGTGGAGTTGGCCCTGGCATTTGTAGAGGACACAGAGCAGGACCCCCTGCCAGCTGTCCAGTACACGAACCCCAGCCTGTACATCGCCACATGGGTAAGAGATCGGCCAGTAAACGTGCTGTGTGTCACCAAAGAGACAGGGTGTGAGACCGTGGGGCCAAGCAGCAGAAAACTCCCCATAGCACAGAGATCAGCTGGAAGCTGTGTCCACGAGGGAAGCGTAGCCTGGAGGATGGGTAGGGACTAGCCCTGAACGTCCATGGGTGGTGCACAAGGGCGACAGGTTGAGGGCAGGCATCTGGTTGTACAGTGCTCCCTCCTTTTACCCTTTAAACCAGGATATATACTATGTCTGTGAGCATAGCTGAGCTTTCTGGCAGAAGCCTTAGTAGCAGCAGTATGGGTTTCACAGGACTGATTGCACAGCGTGAACATCAGACCATACCTTGCTGCTCTGATGTCTCACAGCTTCTCATGGGTTGCGACTCAGTTTTGTGCAGAGAGTCGAGAAATGCCACAGGATACCCAGGCAGAGGAGAAAGCTGAGGACATCCGGACTATTAGCTTG